TCTTCCCTTTTGAGGACCAAATGATCCGGTCCTATCATTGGTGAAGAGTATAATGACCTGGGTGGCAATAAAAAAGACCACGAGACAGATTAAACCATTTTGTTATTTGAGATTTCCCTCTGTTTCTCTGAAGTTGGCGTTGTACAAAGAAAAAATAAATAAAAAACTACCTTTTCGGATTTGATACCGAGAGCGGCTTGGTTTTCAAAGGCCTCTGATGCTTGATCAAAGTCATCATGTAGTGCTGGACTGCAATTAACGGATGGATTCCGAGCCAGAATATCAAGCTTTTTAAGTAAAAGCTCATCGCCGTTTTTCAATAATTCATTTTCGTCGAACCTTATGTGCTGGAAAGCCTTTCCCTTCTTGAAAGTTATCAGGCAGTAGTTGGCGGATCTGACGCCAATTTTTCGTACCATGTATCTTATGCAGTCTATCATCTTCCTGAAGTCGTCTTTTCCTCTCTTACCGATAGCATTAAGAATGAAGCAAAGTTCTATAGCTGCAGACACAAAAATATGAGCTGTCATTTATTATATAGATGGCGGTGCCCGTAGCGAATCCTGTATTCTGATTTGCTATCCGAGCGGGCAAGATGGGGTTTGTCCGCTCTGGATTACCCACTCCCGCGCAAGAAAGAAAATTGCTCGGAACGAACTTACAAAAGATTTCGTAGTTTCCGGAGAGTGTCTGCGATGGAGTCGCTAAAAGTGTTAGAAGACAGTCAAAATAAAGAAAACATGAACGACTCTTATGGGTTTATTTTGCTTCAAAATAGCTGGCTTTCTTTTTCTTCTCTCGAAATAAACAATAAATTCTTAATTCATAAAACGAAATCCTAGACTGTTTCAGTCCATAAAAACGCAGAAAAAAGAACTCAGCCAATATCCAGCCATCTTGACGGCACGCTTGCTCAATAGCGCAAATTTATTGACGATGGCATCATGTAACTATTGCTCGTCAGGGTGAGGATAATTTCCCAACAATTCCTGAGACAAAGTCAAGTGGATCATTTGACAACATCCACAAAGCTTGAAAAGAATTATAATTACTAATGTGATCATTAGAGTCTCGTTAGAGTCATCTCGTTCAGAAACATTCCTCTACCGAAACATCGAGCGATAGAAACCGGAATATACTTGTATTGGACAAAAATAGTTTTCATATAATTAAACCACATACCCTTCGACTTTCTTCGCCATGTATTGATGGAATGGGTAAAAAATAGGATGGCAAACACGAATGGGAAAAGGATGATATCCAGTAGACTGTAGAGCTTTAGCAATCTCCATTTCCATATGTACCTCGAACGTAGGCCTGCAAATCGACCTCTCCATACTTTTTCGAGTAAGTTGTAGACAACTGGATGGGAGAGGAACTTGAAGAAAAAAGATTAAACAACTGTTTGTCTTTTATAGATGACTGGAGTAGACCACGTTAAACTGAGATCGGAGACACATTGGAAAACCAGAAGGCTTAATTTACGTTAAACCAGTAGTTCGATGAGGTAGTGGCCAAAATTTTTACGAATTACTTACAGGAGAAAAGTTTGAAGTGGAAATTGAATGATCAATCGAGGCTTTTAGTTTTTTTTAGCACCAACATTACTTGTGTGGATGTCCCTTCTTACAAAACCACCGAGGGGATATGTCTCCGTAATACTTAATCCAAAATGCAAACTTATATATCAACCTATCAGGGTGGTTATACTTACCTTTCCTTGATTATACTCTATAGCTTTGTCTATGATCAAGTCCAGCGAATCACCAAAAGCCTCTCTGTCTCTTGTGTCCGTTTTCAGAGGGTCAATGAGGCAAGTGGTAAACTCCTCCACGGAATTTGCCAACTTTTTTAGTTCTTCAACATCAGGCCTGTCCTGAAGAGCTTGGTATCTGAGATACCCACTAACCTTAATTCACATGATCAGAAGAGGAAAAAATTATGAAACTGAATGCTAAAAGCATAGGACAATGCAATGCAGTTTAGTTGTGCAATAAAGTAGTCCATAATTCCTGACGCCTACGGGCTCGTCAAAATACTCAGCGATACTACACACCAAAACGTCTGATAAGATACCTATATATATACCATCCAGCCAACAGGTAATGAGAATACTCAGGTAAAAGTTGTTATCCTGATCTCACACCAATTTCTCGTAACTAATTTACTAGGAAATGTGCCGCAGCTTGAGGGAAGAATTAACAATACAACTTGGGAGTTAAGGGGTTAATCGATTAAAAAAGGTGAATTTTCCATGGACAAATTGTTAAAATAAACGGGTGATCTTTTACAGTTTGGAATAAAACTCATGAAACGCTTTCGCCTAAACGAGATTACTGTGTCCGCTATGTTATAGGAGAATTGGTGCGTGCTTTTAGCCGTGCGTCTATATCGAGGTAAGGGTGCACTTAGGAAGTTTTTAGAGCACTCAAGATGTTTCTCGCGTGGATTCCAAACTTCCTGCCTGTATCTATACCCCATGATAAACGAACGCTGAGGATGAACTGTAAGCTACGGAACACTTGAAAATTACTAAAAACAAACTAATTGAAAAAATAGCAAAGGGAGATTTTAAAAGCTGAAAAGGAACGTTAATCGTAACAGTAATATGAAACACAGCCGTGTCGGTTGTCTGTCACTGTATTACAATACTTATACTTGAATGAAATACTGCAGCTTTTTTCTCATATCGGGCAGAAAACCAATCACTAAAGGTCAGTCAGACGAAGGAAATAATACAAAGAGCCTATGAGAACACAAAGTAAAAGCAACTACACGGCAGCCCTCACCCTTTACACCCCAACATCAGTATGCATATTCTCCATACTGTTCTCTATACATTTCCTTAGGTGTTGACAAGGAGAATTTGTTGAACAATCGAGAGCTTCTTGAGTTGGTGACCATTTACTTTTATTATTCTTGTGACCTTGATGAGTGATTCAGGGTGAGAATGTAAGGAGAAGTTAGATGCCAGTCACTCTTAGGGTTAAAGAGTAAATACGCGCAGGAAATGCGTGTGACCACGTCAAGATTGGTTGCAGTTTTGTTTCCAGTCTCATCAGGCCCCGACCGGTTGTATGAAGGGTGGTACGCCATCCGCCGGATGAAGCTCTATCCAGTAGACAGCGCAGTACGTTTTAATTTATCAATTCTTATCCACTGGATAGCACTGAATTTATTCGTTGGATAGCGTTATTGATCAACTGGCCGAACACAGAGCGAAGTAGAGAAATTCCGATGCAATTCCACAATACTTTGAGCACTTTAAAAAATTGAAAACGACACTAACAACGTACGTACCTCAAATGCCTTCGAAAAAGTGTTCGTAATACAAGCTCCCAACGTTTTCGGTGTGATGGCTTCTGCTATAACATCAAAATGATCAGACGCCAATTTCTCGTTTAAATTTTCCTCCAACTCTGGTCGATATTCGCAAACAAAAAGGAGTAGTTAATGTTATGAATAAATATTCAAATGTTTCTTACTTTTTGAATTGATATACTTTGCATATTACAAGCTTAAAAAGATCAGCTTACTTCTCTTGTCCATGAGTGTAACCTGAAGAACAAAAAATGAATAAAAACAGTGAAAAAATTAGAAATAAATCTCCTAGAACATGACTACATTCAGTTATAATAATTTTTATTGACAGCAACTCCGAGCAAGGCAAAGGCATCGATATCTAACATGTAGAATGTTCTCCAATTGTGTTTCGTAGGTTGGGTTGACAGAATTATTATATTTCGGCATGTCCTCACCAATAAACGCCAAACATATTGTGATGGAATGGCATTGAAGAAAATGGAAAAACTGGCTTCCAGTTACTCTATGATAAAATTCATCCCTCAAACTATAGCTGAGTTGACATTAGTTTCTAGTGAGGTTAAAATTTAAGTGTTATACTTACAGTTGAGAATTAAAACACGCTGTTAGGGCTTTTCCTAGTTACGATGTGAGCCGATTTGACGTCTCAAACAACTGACTTACCACGAGCAACAAGAACATGAATGTATTTGTTAATTACTACTTGACCACAAATACGACCGTACACAATACAACAGAAACACAATATACGTTCCTTTCCTGTTTTAACGCTTCAGTTAGTTAGGAAAACAAGAAGTTGAAAATACTTAAAAAGATAATTGATTTTTCTTAAACTGGTCGAAGCCATATCGATGTAAACGGAATCCTCAGAACTGAAAAGACGTCGCAATAATTTTTGCCAAAGAAAACTGTCTCCCTGTGGAGACGCAAGAATTTTTGCCAGAGAAAACCGTCTTCCTGTGTGTCACGGTCTGCGAAACTTGTATCTTGTATGAATGTCAATTAACTCGAAAATGCAAATCGCCCTGAAGTTATTCGCAATTGATGGTTTAGAAAGCCTTTAGCGTGGAAACACCCATTCCTCTCTGAAATGGGAATGATAATTTTTACTCTCAAGTACACGATAAAGTTTTTCATCAAGTGATCCTTAGTAAAACTTCCACAACCAAAAGTTCACTAGTTAACGTATCACGGTGATCGAATAAAGATTATCGCGTGCGCTAGATTTCTCACGTAATCTGTGTTCTCATACTTAAGACTCACCATATCTCAGGAACGTGGATAATATGAAAGGACCCAATACCTGCTGTGTTTTCATGTATTGATTCCCTTCATTCGCTTTCGATAAAATGACGCAAGCACCAGAAGTTTGTACAGAGATGTGCGTGACAAGCAGCTTGGAGGCCCTGAAAAGCCTAGATCTTCGCTATATTGGGGCTTGAATGAAAATTATCAATTTATTATCGTGATTCCCAGGGTCTCCGTTTTTTTATCATTATAATGCAAATATCAAAGCTTTCCAAGGCAAAACAAGCTACTCTTAGAAACGTAACGGCGTAATTCCAGCCGCGCAGCTGTCTGTGTACTACATGTGAACAGACACTCATGACGTCACAGCGTCTTACCTAAATATAGCACAGAGGGGAATACCCTAAGTTTTTTACTTTCCATTTGCGAATGTGTAGTTCATATCGGTAAATACCACTGTCTCTCAACTCTGAATTTTGGAACTCTTCGTGACCAGAAAAGGGCGAGGAAATGGAAACAAACTACAGATCGTTTATTTTAAGGATAGCAGAAAATATCACAAAAGAAAAGCTGGAACAAATGAAATACTTATGCATGGATTTTATTTCAGAAGGAAAACTTGAGACGATCACTTCTCCCTTGCAACTCTTTAAAGAGCTTGAAAGGCTCAAAATGATGGACATTGACAATCTATCATTTTTAAGGGAACTTTTAGAGAACGTCACGTGTTTAGAGCTGGTACGGAGACTAAACGACTTTATTTTACAACGAAATCTCTGCCTAGAGGAACAAAGAAAACAGCTAAGATATGGCAAAGACCTCTGCGATGCAGTAGTCAAATGTTTAGTGATGGGAGAAAGCAGAGGGGATCAGCCTCTTAGTCGCACAGAAGCATTGAAGACGTCGGGTGAGTGTCTTGTTTCTTGAGGCACGGAGTCAACAACCCCCTCCCCCCGTCCCCCAAACCCAAACACTCACGCACAAATATAGCAATGGATGCCATGGATCTACTCAAGTTCGCTAATTGCTTGGAACCAGAACCCCAGATAACCGATCCAAGATCTTGGATCTTCCTGCTTATTCCCACAACCACCTTCCCCTACATTTTCTCATCCATACAGTTGAGGTCTAGCAGCCTAGAGTAAGTGTCATTAAGAACAATCAGTAATTGGATTGGTTGATGATATATCTTCGGTATATAGTTAAGTAGGAAAAAGGGGAATGTTTGAACAAAAAAGACAGTTAAAGAAGTTCACAAATCATTTAAAAGTTCTGAATTTGTCATACATGCATTTCTCACACATCTTTCAAAATAAAAAGTAAAATCTGGAGGATATGTTTATTCTAGGCAGCCAGGCTCCATTTAAGTGGGGCTGAATGACAGAAAATGGCACAGGGAAAGAGCAATTATTGGATGAGGTTGAGCATGACATAATTTATTAACTACCAAACCAAGGTCTTGGTTATCTCTCAAAGCTGAAGGTTAAGGCAGATAACACTGACATGAATTTGACAATCCATGATATCATGCAAAAGCCAAATTCAATAATTGTTTTATAATACATTTTTCACACAACCTGCAAAAGAAGAAACCTCTCTGAATTTGTAAAAGTTTGAGAACACTACATGGACAGGGGGTTTAATTAGGGCTGACTTTGAACTCAACCTGATAACTGCAATACCACCTGTAGATTCTGGGTTCTCATATCATCTTCACTGATAAACTATAGTACATTGATAGAATGCTCTTGACCAATCAGATTTTTCATAGAAAGTTGAAAGCATTATTATAATAATGCCATTAAGCTCACAGAACTACACAGAACCCAACTGAAAAATAACCCCATTGTAAAAAGTTATCACAACTGCTTTCTAATGATGGTAACTATGGTTATTTTTTACTTGAAACAAATTTATTGAAAACATGAAAAGGATCATGCAGTGACTAAAGAGCAATGACTGAATTTAATGGTGGGATGATCATTTTTTTAGGTGGAAGGCAGGTGGATGAAGAGGAGCTCAGGTTACAGAATAGATGTCCTTGTGTAGTTCATTGTCCTCCAAATGAAAGAGAGCCAAGAGGTAAACTGTATTTGCCTTAATACATTGTCACTGTTTGCACTAGGGCTCATGGATCAGAAGTGACTTGGATTTTTGCTTCTCTTCTGGGTGGGATGTTACTTTTCTCAGAAGCGAGATAGTACTTGAAAAATAAAAGTATACCTTTCAACCTACTGAAGACAGAAGAGATCAAATAACCTGTTTTAAATTGAACATTTTGGTTCTTAGGGTGGGAGAAAAACTGGAGGAGTTGGGGGAATAACCTGTGAAGAAGGATAAAAACCATCAATTAACCCATAAGTTAGATCAGAACTTACAATTGCACCTAGAGCTGTGAGGGAAGGGGATGAGACAGGCATTCTTAATGACTACACCAGGAATGGCTCCATTATATTTTCAGTTGATGAAAAGTAAACATGACACAGTGACCTAATAGCTGATCCAGGGTTACAACCAGGTCTCTTGGTTGATCAGGGTCCAGTTGTTAGAAAAGTAGTTGTAACTAATTGCCCATTAATTTCTCTTGTATCAATGCACACACCAGAGCACTGGCTATTGCATATTTGAGTTTCATTGAGGCAAAACATAAGAAACGTAAGAAATAATCAAAGTAGAATTTGTAGACTACCTACATACTAGTACACCTATTTCACAAATTAATCTTACTGTATGCCTAGGTTAAAGTAATAATTTTTTTAACAACTCAGCCCTGGAGTCCAATCCACAAGTGTTGAGGTCCAAATTTTTACTGTATCATGTGGACTAAAAATAAGTAAGAATTTGTAACAAATGGAAAGCAGATGGTCCAATTGAGACTAATGCCAACAGCTGACAAGTGGCTTCATTTTCAAAAATTCATTCCACATAGAAATTTCTCTTCATGTTGCTGTTAAGTTGGCCTCAAAAGGTGCTTGGTTTGCTGGAACATTCTTTATCCTCAAGAGGTACATAAATGATCCTGTGACTCTTGCTGGCTTGTTTGCATCAGTGGTCCTTCCATCAGGAGTAATGATAAAGTATCTTTGTGAAGGTTCTATCATTTGTGTGTTAGAAGCAACTCATCTGCCAGGGCTACAGGAATTGTGGCTAAATTATCAAAGTGGCAAGCTTCTAGAAGCTTTGGAAGAGGTTTTGATCACAGAGGAACTGAAAGCACTAGCAGATGGCCAAGAGATAACAATGAGTGTAACTCTAGATGAGAATATTTACCGCGAAGTATGTTTGGAACTCATGGTTGTTAAACAAAAGGGTAAGGTTCCAGCTCAGGGGGTAAATGGGATTAAAGAAGAGTGGGACAAGGGAATAATCTATAGGAAAAAAGTAGTTGAAACCTCAATTCTTGAGGTTCCTCAGAATTAAGCCAATGAAAAGCCATTAGCCAAAATTACAATCTCAAAAGACTTATCTTTTTTCAATTGTGACATTAAGAGAAGTAAAGCCTCCATAAGATTACAAATTCATAAGATGTACTTTCATGCCTGGATATAATAATAGACACCTGGTGTACAACAAGTCAAATCAAAAGAATATAGCTAGCAAGGTAGTACTTGTTAACAGGTATTTAGAAGAATGTATCACTTTGGTTAACCAACATCAATTTCATGCAATTTGCCTCTAACAGTTTGTCTACTGAAAAACCAATCTCAACAGTGGCAGATCCAGACCATGAGCTAAGGTTTTTTGTCACTTGCCCTGCCAGCTTTTCTTCCTTCTGTGATTCTTTTTTTTTTACACAAAATAAGGGAGGGGCTGAGCCCCCCAGGCCCCTAGATCTGCCACTGCTCAATCAGGCTCTCAAAAAGCCTCACCTATGAATTTCAAAAATGAAAAAGGAAAAAAAAAAGAAAAGAAAAGAAAAGAAAAATAAACTTGTCATGACTTGGATCCTGAAAAACCTCCTGGGAAATTTCACTCATCTAGAAAGTGCTCCCTATTGCTAGTATTTTGCATCTTTCCATCTGCAACCTTTATTGTAAAAAAAAAGATTTAATGTGGCCAAATTAAATTCTATACTACAGTATTATTTGGTGAATATATCTGTGGAATTTTATTAATCTACTTGGTCAATTAATTTCACAGTTGATCAAACTTTTGGAAATGTTCAACAGAGACCACGCAGTTTATCTGACAGTCAGATTAATTTCTTTCAAAAACCTTGGACCACCTCCCAAGAAAAGAGCTTACACATTTTGGCTAAAGCAGAGAGATCACGACGCAAGAGGGCTGAAAAAAAATTGGTGAACATGCTAGCTTATCAATCTTTTGAAGCTGATTTCCAATCTGAGTTCAGTCTCTTAATTGGTGAGAAAGGCCAAGAGACAGATGGTGATGAAAGTTCATCAGTGACCAGCAGTACCACAGAAGGTTAGTTTTTCCTGCTACCAAAACTAAATAACTACCAGCTGTTGATCTCTATTGGTCTATATTTACAGAACTTGCCTTTGTTTCAGTGGCAAGAAAGAACTACTGAGGATGTATGATTATTCTCCTTGGATGGGATACCACACCATAAAAGGGTCACCTTCAGCCCCATTCCCCCTCCCCTTTCAGCATATTCAAGGCTTTCTTTACATTTTGCCACTATTTATTTAAATTTTTGGGTGAAGAGGCTATGTGAGTAAAAGTGACTTGGCAAATTTCACAACACAGCTATTGTGACCTAAATGAATGCTATTACTAGAGAAGATTTGCATTCTTCATTGTGTTTATAAGTATGGCTACTTAATTGATTAATTTAGAGGTAGGCAGCTAAGAAAAACCAAGTGCTCCACCTTGTAAATAGTATAGTTATATAACTGTATAATAAAAATAAACACATGTATATGGTGCGTCATATTTTATTTAAATTGCAAATCATATACTGTAGTACACACATTTGCTCTGACAAAGGGCCAACAATCAAAATGTCACCTACGAAACTCTTTGCAGTTTCTTTAGAAACTTAATACATGCACTGATAAAATTCCAGCACAACTTTGATTTCGTTGCTTGTCAAGTATACCATTGACTTTTTGTATGAACCACTCTTTAATTGATCATCTTCACAGAGGAGCTCCTTGATTTTGAAGAAGCAAATAATGAACTGTCTGACTTCTGGTCATCCATAAAAGGTGGTCCGAAAGAAAAGGTGCAACTTTAATTGTTTACTTTCAATTGATGATTGCCAGGGTGAATTTCACAAGAGAGGCATCCTTATGAATGTCCTTCACATCACTTTCCTTCTTCCCCCTTCTTGTTAAGCTCTGTCTATATACATGCAGAACTAAGACACTATTGCTCTCTAGAACCTACAGTAAACTTTTTTTAATTTTAAAATACATCTGCCAAACAATAACTACAATGATACAACAGAGATGTATGATAGAATAACAAAATCCACCTTAAAAAACAATTTAAAAAGCAACTAGGTTACAGGTTCAACAGGTAATTTGGTACAAACCTGTTTCATACCCAGCTAGGTTGATTGGTACCCAGTCAGTTGAGTCATTTTGTACCCAAACTGTGAGTCAGAGTATGCTTAACCTGTTAAGCACATTTTAAGTAATTTCAGTTTTCATAGAACATATTTTGTTTATGTGGCATGCATTTTTTTAAATGTGACCACCAAAGGGAGACAAACAAATACACAAACTAGTTGTTTCTGCTTCAAAGGTCACAAGTTTACAACTGAATTTTGTTTGTCTCTAACTCTCTTCACTCGACTGAATTGTCGTATGCAATCAACATCTGCTCACATGCTTGCATGTGAGGAGTTTTGAATGAATGTATGTTGAGACTGGTACAAATTGACCTGCGGTTTGGGTATGAAATGATTTGATACCCTGCTAAAATGCACATTAACATCTCTTAATTATTGAGCACTGTTTTTTAGGACTAATGAAAGATTCTTTCAAACCATTCCAAAAAGACCCCTCTGCAACCGACCTAACTGTGCAAAATATGATAAGAAAAATAAAGGACTGAACAGCTTCTTGACTAACTTATACTTATTTTGACTTATTTTATTGTCTTACGAAAAGGGATCCCATGATATGGCAAAAAGAAATAATAAAAATTACATAGGTTTACATGACATTATTACACTAAAATCTGTTTTATATAGAGTTGGAAGGACTTTGAAGGTGCTGTCAAGGGATCATATTCGGAATACCTACAGCATGAAGGAATTGCTTTGTTAAAATTTCTTATGTATGTCCTCATGGGCAAATATGGTAAGGACTAGTCAGAGCTATCTTATATGGATACAAAGAAATTCTGCATAAGTAGTCAATAATAACACAGTTAGTTCAAATAACTGTCACTTTAACTGCACCATGCAAGATAACCAAAACACCAAGAAAGATTGATTAACTGAACCTACCTATCTACAATGCTGACAACATACGTGTGCTATGACAAAGTGAAAGTGCAGACATTTCCCAATAAAAAGGCCTAGCATGTTGAGGACATTTCTCATTTAGTTGGGAAGGTCAAAAAATGGTGCTGATAAACATTTTAGTTTTGAGAAGGTGAAAATGTACATGCCTGTCAAAAAAAATTTAGTTTAATAAAATGTTATTGATAGTTACCTCCTCCTCAGCCGATCAAAAACCAGTTTTTTACATGGTGGAAATGGAGGAACCCCTCAGTGGGTTGCTAAGGTACTGCAGTTTACCATCCACAATGACTGATTCCTAGCATCCATACACTCTACTGCAGTCAGTGCACCTAGGACCACATCACAATGCCCCAACCAAGGGTTAAGCTGGGACCCATAAATGGTACAGTACAAAGAGCTTGGTAACCAAGTTTGGTCACCAAATTTCCTGACACTGCCTTAACCTGATGCTAAATTTAAGTTGTTTTACTTAAAAAATGTTTAGAAAAAAAGGAATCTGCACCTGTCTACCGCCATAACTTCATAAGACTCTCAGTGTGGTTTGGATCTCCCAATGAAGGAA